AACGTTTTTCACCGTGGTGACGCTTTTATATAAGCACATGTCTGTGTGTGTGTGTGTGTATATATATATATATATATATATTATATATATATATATATATATATATATATTATATCGTGCCTAATAGGTAAAACAGGCCAATTAGCGTGTGAACCCCCCATCCCTCTTACTAGCGTGTGAAACCCCCCATCCCCCTTACTAGCGTGTGAAACCCCCATCCCCCTTTCTAAAATTTTCTCTTATACGTTTAAAGATATATTTTTTCATTAATGTTGATGTAAAAATTTATAATTTTGCACCAGAAGGAACTTAGAAAACTTACCTAACCTTATTATAATAAGAACAATTTATTTTAGCCTAACCCAACTAAATATATTTTAGATTTGGTTACAATAATTTAATACTAAACAAACACAGTGAAATATATTTTTTTCGTTAGGTTCAGAATGATTTTGGCGAAATTATTGCATACACAAATTTTCACTTGTCCTATATGGCAAGATGAGCGTTGCTATTTAAGCCAAGATCGCAAGTTCTGCCTATTCGGCACGACATATATATATATATATATATATATATATATATAATATATATATATATATATATATATATATATATATATATATATATATATAATCATGACCTTACCGAGATATTCAGGGAAGATAGTATGAGTAACATGGATTTAAACCAGTGTGTCTGCAGGATGAGCTCCAGGGCTCCAGGCACATACCATTAAGAAACAAAGTTAGAATAAGATGCCCTCCACAGGCGAAGACTAAGAATAACGGAACTTTTAAGACTTCAGATTTTCTGAAGATCTAAAGGAAATGCTGATTAGAGAAATGGAAAACATTGAGCTCAAGCTTAACCCACCGTACAAAAATACAATCCATTTTTTTTCATGAATGCAACTCAAAATCCTGCCGTCATGTCCACAAACTTTGACGTAATCCTAACCCACATTTGATTTCAAGACAAGCCATTGATAGTATGCCCATGCACTCTGCAACAGGCCCAGACTCGTGTAACTCCATATTTATGAAGAATTGCAAGAAGCCACTCACTAACGTTCTATCAGGGCCAGATATGCCTGGCCATGGGCCAAACCTGCCTGTTCCATGGCCAGGCTGCGGGAATAGGAAAACTCGAAACTGGCCACAGGTACCTGGTGGAAGAAGACCTGATCAACCAGACTTCTACTGCTGACCGCATGCATTCAAATGTACTAATCACAGCCCGGCTGTTCAGGAACCGATCTGAAGAACTTATCACGTTCTCTCCTGAAGACAGCCGAAAGTTCCTTGGTATTTTCCCCATACGCACGGTGGGAGGCAATTGAAAAGTCGGGGACCTTTGACACTTATCGAGTTCTCTAATTGCGCCCTTGCTGTTTATCGGAGGTATTTTACACCATCTCTCAAGCTTTGGGAGTAGAAAAACTCGCCAAAGGTATAGCTGTCTTCAAAAGTTGTACGTTGGAATGCGTGCGGCTATCACCAACAACATGGTTGATTGGGCAATCATCCAGGAGCCCTGGCAACCTTCAGGTAACCTGCCAGCAGATATTAAATCTATTGTCGGAACAGAAGTAGAAGCCTGGTAAGTGGTGTCATGAAGAGTCAATATGATCCAAATCCACGTGGAGGTAAGATAAACAAAATAAAAGGACTATATCTGGCGAAGAGGACCTCAGAAGTCGAAATATACAGTACTCTCAGTCTGTTTCATTTGTCTTCACGTCGGTTTGGATCACAAAAAGAGTCTAGTGCCAGATCAACCAGGCTGTGATGGCTATGCAAATCGGTGGGTCGCGAATAGCAACAGCCTGGTTTAACATTCAGCAAGGAAGCCTAGGCCCAGGCCGGGCTGAGAGGGTAGGAAAACTCCCGAAACCTGTCGCGGAGAACTAGACAAGTTGTGAATGAAGTGTCTTACCAGCCATGTTGTAATGGCTACCTGGGCAACAGCAGTGTGCTTGATACGACGGTAAAAAACAAGAGTATAGTCTCAATCCAGGCTGAGAGAGTAAAATCACACTGGAAACTGGTTACATGTATGCTCCATGGATGACATTGTTGAGAGTAGCGTAGCAGGAACATGTGTTGGACCATTGACAGTGTTTTACATAATTGCTCTTGTGTGAATTATTTTTTTTTTCAACAAACCGGCGATATCCCACCGAGGCAGGGTGACCTAAAAAGAAAAACGAAAGTTTTTCTTTTTAAATTTGGTAAGATATACAAGAGGAGGAGTTACTAGCCCCTTTTTCCCGGGATTTTAGTCTACTCTTACGACACGCATGGCTTACGGAAGAATAATTCTGTTCCGCTTCCCCATGGAGATACCTGGAGGTTACCTGGAGGTTATTCCGGGGATCAACGCCCCCGCGGCCCGGTCCATGACCAGGCCTCCCGATGGATCAGGGCCTGATCAACTAGGCTGTTACTGTTGGCCGCGGCCAATAAACAAGAACTAATAAGAAAATTGAAGAAAATCCAGAGGGGTGTGTATATATATGCTTGTACATGCATATGTAGTGTGACCTAAGTGTAAATATTATTATTATTATTAAAATCAAGGGGAAGCGCTAAACCCGGAGGATTATACAGCGCCTGGGGGGATGTGGAATGCATTCAGGCTTAATTCGGGGAACTGGAGCACAGATCCAATTCCCTAAATCAAGAGCCCCTCACCAACATCAAGGAACCTTCCTTGAGGGGTAAGTGTAAGTAGAAGTAGCAAAACGTACCTGAAATTTTGCATGTTTGAGACAGAAAAAAGACACCAGTAATCCTAAAAGAATTAAAAGTTTCCGTTTTACACCTCCCTGGGCGGCTGCTGTCTACCAACCTACTCCTACAATTTTTATTTATCATTATTATTATACAGGAAGATAATAGGTTATAATCATTACCATAATTTTTACAGGGGTGGGCCGGTAAGCCAGTGGAAGGCCTCAGTCTCCAGCTGTGTCTCATCATATGACTGAGACCCGCGTCAGTAAACACTTGTCCTGTTTCCTGACAAACATTGTGTACATTTATTATCATCATCATCATTATTATTTAATGGGAAATACCTGGAGGGTGTTCTGGAGGTCAACGCCACTGGTTCATGACCATGACCAGGCACTACATTCGTAAGGTACAAACAGCTGCTGCTGAGGAATGAGTGATTTGATCCGGTCAAGACACCTTTGATGGGTTTCGGGTTTTGCTACTCCGGTAATGCCTCCCTGGACTAGGCTTGTCTGGTGCCGCCCTGCTTAACCAGGGGTAGCTCCAATTCCTTGAATGAAGATCACTTGACTAGCATCAAAACAAACCCTTTCTTCTTGTCAGGGACAAATCTTCTCCACAGACCTGTTCGTGGTCCCCAGGAATCATGGCCCCCGCGGCCCGCTACGACCAGGCTTGCTTCCCATACAAATGGACTGGACCATTGCTGGGAAAGTTTAAACAAGTACTATTGCATCCTAAATGTCCGTAGCCGTTGATGGCTTCGTTGTTTGGGCCGTTGTTGAGCTTAGTTGACAATTGTAGTGACGAGTAATGGGCGGACTGGCCATAGCCAGCCTCCACAATAACAATATTCCACGTAGAAAAAAGAAGTAACTGGTGTGGTTGTTTTAGCCAAACTCTGGTGTGTGTGTGTGTGTGTGTGTGTGTGTGTGTGTGTGTGTGTGTGTGTGTGTGTGTGTGTGTGTTGTGTGTGTTGTGTTGTGTGGTTGTGTGTGTGTGTTTTAGGCTTGGCCTTTTTTTTTTTTGTTGGTTTGTTGAGGTAGGCCTGGCGCAGGGCCCGCCTACGGGAGTAGGAAAAACTGCCTGGGAAGGTCAGAGGTAAGACACCTCATGTTTCACAACAATGTCCTCCTCTTTCTCAACCTCCCTCCCACTTCCTTAATTCTCCAACACTCCCTCCGCTCTCCTTCCCCAAATAACTTCCATTTTCTCTATCCAGCCCCCTACCTCTCCCATATCCAACTCCTTTTCCCTCCACAACTCAACCATCCCCTTTCCATCCTTTCTCCTTAACGTTTTGTCTCCCCTTCCGAACTATCCTCTTCCCCACACCCCCTCCCATTACCGTGCCAGCCCCTTTCCCTCCCTTCCCTAACCTCACATTCTCATTTCTCTCAGCTTCCTCTCCCCGTTCCTCTCTCTTCTCTCCCCGTTCCTCTCTCTTCTCTCCCCTTCCTCTCTTGTCTCCCTTCTCACCCCCCCTTCCTCTCTTTTCCTTTGCCTCTTCCTCTCTTCATCACCTTTTTCCCCACACCCTTCCCTTTCCCTCCCTCTCCTTTATCCCTTCGCCCTCTCCCGCTGGGTGGTTATTGGGAATTTTTATTTGCACAGTTTACTTGTTTGCCCAACATTTGCACACTCAAAATTCATTGTTCACTCACAATTCTTTGTTTAACTAACCAGAGTCAAGGTTCATTACCCAGGGGCCTTGTTTATTTACCCACATATAATGATTTTTTTTTATATTTCGAGCATATATGAATTTTTTGTCGAATTTTATTAATTTACTTTAGAGTGCTGGTCATGATGTCGGTGTTTATTTTCTTTATTATTATTTTAATATCTGCTGGATGATTTGCGAGTCACAGTTAATGCTGTTTGTTTCCGTTTTTGTAAATATTATGATCACGTAAGTCCCATCTTTTTTTTACATTTTTTAATTTTTACATTTTAAAATTTTCAGGGTTTATTCATTATTATTATTGAATATTTAAGTTCCATCTTGGCTAGTTGTTTACTAGTTTATTGCTCAAGGAGTTACTATGTCCATGCCATAATTCCAGACTAGGTCTCCTGGTTGATGGCCTGGTATGTCAGGCTGTTGGTGTTGGCAACATGTAGTTGAACGTATACACCATAGCTTGGTTCTGGTGAATATGTTCGGGTTCCCTATTGAAAGCATTTTAGGGATTAGATATTTTCATCATGTTATTGATATTGACCTTGTTATTAAGCTAACCTGTTTCATTTCTGCAGAGAATCAATGACTTGAACGAGGACTTCTGTGGCATGGACGTCAACACTCCTCTGGGAGGAGAGCAGCCTGTAGAAGGTCTAGCTATACTCACCTTCCCTACCAGACTGACGGCAGTGGCTGCCACTTCTACTGAGGTCTACACTGTTGTCTTCCTCGGCACTGCCCAAGGGCACCTCAAGAAGGTATGCAATGTCATATAAGTTCATGATGGGAGGATCTAATGCTTGGACAAATTTATGAGTGGGGAGAGTCAAGTGCTTGGACCAGTTCATGCCAGAAAGGTTTACTGCTTGGACCAGTTTGTGACAAGAGGGTCTAATGCTTTGAATGTTTTAAATATACCATGCCCTTTTTTCAGTTTAAAATACAACACTGGTCTGTTTTATTACCACAGATGACACACCAAGTTCATCTTTGGTCACTATTGCAGGTGCAGGATTTTGGTCTTGACTTTATATATGCATATTAGAAATCACACATACATTATTCATAAATAATCTGCATACTATAAATCACTTGTATGTTTTTTTTTCATAAGTAATCTACATATAAATCACTCATATGTCTTATAAGTAATGTCTATATTGTAAATCAGTCATGTATGTACATAAATCACAAGTCAGTTTATGCAATACCTATACATGGTTTTCACTGATAAATTGCTGTAGTGGATCAAAGGTATTAGAGGTATATTTATTTAAGCCAATTTGCTAAAATCACCAGAAGAAGACTGCACTTGGATAGGCGTGGGGAGCAGCACGTACCTTGTTCCTCATTTTCACAGTAATTTTTAGGTTTGTATATCTTCTAAAATGGAATTACTCCATCATTCTCTATCAAAGTACATGGGCACCCACCATAAATTAAAAATTGTGAAAACCCTATGAAATTGTACCTAAATAATTACCTGACATCCCAAACCAGGTAAACTCCATCAACCCTGATTGACTAATTTTTATTCCTATCAACCTAACTATGATTAAATGTCCATGGACAGAGGAAAAAGTGGGAGGATCAGCACTAGACAATTTATCAGGTGTAGAAGAGTCAAGGTTAAGAAATTGGGGTGGGGAGCCTTCACCACCAATTCCCCACCAAAACAACATTCAGGCCCCTCATGGCAGAGTGTTTCTTTTTTAATAAATGTCCTGAACAGTACATAAGTGTCTTTCTACATCCTACCAGTATCAGCATACCATTTACTTTCAATAAATCTCAAGGATGGCATCTGGGGGTTGAAGCCTTCATCCTGACCTCACCCCTAACAAAAGGATAACAAACATTGCCTACCTAGATGAATCTTCCTCCAACCCCTTCAAGGGTTCTGACCAATTACTAGACAAATTCATCAGTAACCAGGCACAGGAAAAAGCCTCATTAACCAAAAACTATTAAACATTAAGAGAAGCCTTTAGTAAACTGCAGGCCTCCTAAGTCTCCCAAGCCAAACTGATTGACCATTTAGTGTATAACTAGTTAATGGTCCAGGTCGGACTGAAACATCACCATAAGTTTTTCTATGCGAGTTATTTGTGTATTTAGTGAAAGAGTTACACCTGGTCACGGACCGGGCCGCGGGGGCGTTTCTCAGTAGTAGTAACCAGTTACCAGTAACCAGTGTACCAGTAGATGACTCACTACCAACCGTCTCTGCCTGAGTCACTGTCTGTATTCATATTGTGCTGACCACAGCAGTATTCAAAGACCCCCTCACATATGGGTACTGTGGGCGGCCAGTCAGTGTTACGAGAGTGAGCAAGGAGACAAGGTTACGGCTGTTTGGGCGCTCCCCACATTATCCGTAATTATACGTACTACCAGCCTACGTGAGTATTACTTTACCCTATCCACGTGTTCGAACTCCCACATGATACGTTGACCCCCCGGAACTCTCTCCAGGTAAACTCCAGGTAAACCGTCCGACTTACAACCTGCTCGACTTAGGACCACTCGACTTAGGACCACTCGACTTAGGACCACTCGACTTACGACTGTGTTTTTCATGCCAAATTTCTGGGAAGTAAACAACTATTTGTGTTGTACACAGTGTTTATCCTAAATCTTACAGTATAAAATACAGTACTAACAACATAAAAAGTAAAGTAAAACATGAAATACCAAAATAAAACAAAATAAAGCCATTCCAAAAATGTTTTGTTGAAAATCAGTAGTAAAGTTTGACTTACGACCGGTTTCTCGGAACCGAACTCGGTCGTAAGTCGGATGGTAGGTGTATATGGCATAGAAAAATGGCACTGCCAAAACAGAATTTAAGTGCTGGAGGGATTAGTCTCAAACCTGTACACTGAAATTACTACTCATGAATGCAAGAGGCTTGGCAAACAGTTCATGCTACCTCCAGTAAAAAGCAGGAGAGTAAGTATTAAGGGACCATGATTGAATACCCTCCCTTCATGCAGGAGAGAGATTAATAATAAACCCCTAGATATCTTCAAGAGGGAACTCAACAGATTCCTCAAAAACGGTTCCTGATCAACCGGGTTGTTGTCTATTTTGGACTACGGGAGGCTGGTATTAACAGCTTGATCGATCAGGCCTGCAACGAGGAGGCCAGATCTGTGACCAGGCCATAAGGGACGATGACCTCTAGAAGCAACTAAAGATAGACTCCAGATAAACAAGTAGCATCCAAATCCACAGTGAAAAAAGTAATGAACATGGAAAAGCTGACCTATGCAGTTATATATCTGACCTACTCAGCAAACAAACAGCAGGGACTGAGCAACACCAAGTGGCTGATGCTGTTGTTATAAACATCATAGGTTGAACAACAACCGTTTCACGAGAATACTCTCGCTACCACCATCACTACCACCACCATCACTACCACCACCATCACTACCACTATCACCACTACCACTATCACCACTACCACCATCACCACTACCACCATCACCACTACCACCATCACCACTACCACCATCACCACTACCACCATCACCACTACCACCATCACCACTACCACCATCACCACTACCACCATCACCACTACCACCATCACCACTACCACCATCACTACCACACCATCACCACCACCACCACCACCACCACCATATATCATCATCATCATCATCATCATCATCATCATCGACTACCACTGCCTCCATGTTAAACCAGTTTTATCTCCTGGCTGGCAATGGATTTAAAGGTAGTAGGGCCATTTATAGCCTTGTTGATGGGAATAGGTTCTGTACTGTTATTTTGTAAGAATTTTTTTTCAGTTTAGGGTTAAACTCATGGCCCATTTGGATAATCTCCACTGAACACGTATCTGCGTGTAAATTCTTATTGTACTGAAATTTACAATGGTATTGTGCTAGTTAATGAGTTTACAGATATACCATATTTTCTTTGGTGTTTGTTGAGTTAGTAGTATTTTATTATTTACATTTTCCAGGTTGTGATAGAGAACCAGAACAATGCTCTAGAATACGATGATATTGTTGTGGATCAAGACTCTCCTGTCAGACAGGACATGTACTTTGACAAGGCTGGCGACCATCTCTACGTAATGACCAGCAATAAGGTAGAAATATATCGTACAGTACCAGTCTGTGCCTCCAGATTACTGAAACATATTCAGATAATGCATGTAAAAAAATAATTTCTCTATAGGGGCTTGTGGCAAATATTAAAAATATGTGAATGTCAGATGATCTGGGTTGTAATGGCTGAGTAAGCCTGTGAAATGCTAGCAGCAACAGACTGGTTGACCAGGAAATAAACAAGGACGCAGTCTTAGGTTGGGCTGTGATCAGACGAATCCTTGAAACTGATCACAGGTATCTCTGTCTACAGACCTGTTCACATGTTTGTCCCACTGGGAAGCAGTCAGGATATTGCATTTAATTTTTAACAGGGTGGATCAGTAAACCAGCAGATGGCCTCAATCAAATGACAAAAGACTTCACTTGTCCGGCAGGTTACTTGTTGCACTGGCCATGTCGGGTTCTCTGGAGGTTGAATTATACCATGCCTTATATTATTATTATTTTTTATTATCACACTGGCCGATTCCCACCAAGGCAGGGTGGCCCGAAAAAGAAAAACTTTCACCATCATTCACTCCATCACTGTCTTGCCAGAAGGGTGCTTTACACTACAGTTTTTAAACTGCAACATTAACACCCCTCCTTCAGAGTGCAGGCACTGTACTTCCCATCTCCAGGACTCAAGTCCGGCCTGCCGGTTTCCCTGAACCCCTTCATAAATGTTACTTTGCTCACACTCCAACAGCACGTCAAGTATTAAAAACCATTCGTCTCCATTCACTCCTATCAAGCACGCTCACGCACGCCTGCTGGAAGTCCAAGCCCCTCGCACACAAAACCTCCTTTACCTTTGCCTTATATATCTGCATCTAGTACAGAAGGTTGAGGTGAGCAGGCCCACGATGGTATATGTACACAGCCAGACCTCCCAGTTTGAACTGCTAGGTGCACAGAAGGGGGTGCTAGCTTATGACACCACTATTAGTATGGGTTGAAATTTCCTGGGCTGTGGAGGCAGTTAAAGGAGGAATAACATACTGGAACACCAAGCCCCCCTTCCCCCACCAGGTAATCTTGTGACCAAGACCTACATTAGGAGAAATTTTCTAGTTTTTCCTCGCTTAGTGACACCAGCTCCTATGTACTGTAGTGGAAGAAAATATTATGGAGCTCCACTGTACTGTTTATGATTTCCAGAGCTTCTTGAAGGGTCCTAAGTGATGCAGGTCACTGGGTGTTAAGTCGGGGGTCTTGAAGTGGGTGGTCCAGTTCAGTCTGGTGGCCCAACAAGGAAACATCCTTTGTGTGAGACCACTTTACCTATTGATACCTACCAGAGTAACTAATTCTTGAATGTGAGACATCTTGTTGGTTTATTGAAACATGCTCTTGTGTGTTTTACACACACACACACACACACACACACACACACACAGGTAATCAGACTGAGGAAGGGTGATGGGGAATTCACAAGAAACGACCAAGAGGTATGTCAGGAGCTCAACACAAGATTTAAAGAGGTATTTACAGTGGAACCCAGTAGGACTCCAGGAAATCAGAACAGGGGGGCACACCCGCAAGTGCTGGATGAGGTACATATAACCAAGGAGGAGGTGAAGAAGCTGCTATGCGAACTTGACACCTCAAAGGCGGTGGGACCAGACAACATCTCTCCATGGGTCCTTAAAGAGGGAGCAGAGATATTGTGTGAGCCATTAACAAAGATCTTCAACACATCACTTGAAACTGGGCAACTCCCTGAGGTATGGAAAATGGCAAATGTAGTCCCAATTTTTAAAAAGGGAGACAGACATGAGGCACTAAACTACAGACCTGTATCACTAACGTGTATAGTATGCAAGGTCATGGAGAAGATCATCAGGAGGAGAGTGGTGGGGCACCTGGAAAGAAACAAGTGTATAATTGACAACCAGCACGGTTTCAGGGAAGGAAAATCCTGTGTCACAAACCTACTAGAGTTTTATGACAAGGTGACAGAAGTAAGACAAGAGAGAGAGGGGTGGATTGACTGCATACTTTTGGACTGCAAGAAGGCCTTCGACACAGTTCCTCACAAGAGGTTACTGCAAAAGCTAGAGGATCAGGCACACATAACAGGAAAGGCACTGCAATGGATCAGAGAATACCTGTCAGGGAGGCAAACGAGTCATGGTACGCGACGAGGTGTCAGAGTGGGCGCCTGTGACAAGCAGGGTTCCACAGGGGTCAGTCCTAGGACCTGTGCTGTTCTTGGTATATGTGAACGACATAACTGAAGGGATAGACTCAGAAGTGTCCTTGTTTGCAGATGATGCGAAGTTAATGAGAAGAATCAAATCGGATGAGGATCAGGCAGGACTACAAAGAGACCTGGACAGGCTACAAGCCTGGTCCAGCAACTGGCTCCTTGAATTTAACCCTGCCAAATGCAAAGTCATGAAGATTGGGGAAGGGCAAAGAAGACCGCAGACACAATATAGTTTAGATGGCCAAAGACTGCAAACCTCACTCAAGGAAAAAGATCTGGGGGTGAGTATAACACCGAGCATATCTCCTGAGGCGCACATCAATCAGATAACTGCTGCAGCATACGGGCGCCTGGCAAACCTACGGATAGCGTTCTGATACCTCAGTAAGGATTCGTTTAAGACTCTGTATACCATTTACGTCAGGCCCATACTGGAGTATGCAGCACCAGTTTGGAATCCACACCTAGTCAAGCACGTCAAGAAATTAGAGAAAGTGCAAAGGTTTGCAACAAGACTAGTCCCAGAGCTACGGGGATTGTCCTACGAAGAAAGGTTGAGGGAAATCAGCCTGACGACACTGGAGGACAGGAGGGTCAGGGGAGACATGATAACGACATATAAAATACTGCGCGGAATTGACAAGGTGGACAAAGACGGGATGTTCCAGAGAAGGGACACAGACACAAGAGGTCACAATTGGAAGTTGAAGACTCAGATGAATCAAAGGGATGTTAGGAAGTATTTCTTCAGTCATAGAGTAGTCAGGCCGTGGAATAGCCTAGAAAGTGACGTAGTGGAGGCGGGAACCATACATAGTTTTAAGGCGAGGTATGATAGAGCTCATGGAGCAGGGAGAGAGAGGACCTAGTAGCAATCAGCGAAGAGGCGGGGCCAGGAGCTGTGACTCGACCCCTGCAACCACAAATAGGTGAGTACAAATAGGTGAGTACACACACACACACACACACACACACACACACACACACACACACACACACACACACACACACACACACACACGCACGCACAGCACGCACGCACGCACGCACGCACGCACGCGCTCAGACATACATCTTAGTGTACACATATACAGCTTAATTTTTCTACACTCTTGCCTTTGAAACTCCTTAGTAACTTTCCACTTGGTATTGTTTACACCTTTTAATTATAAAATATTGTTCTGACACCGTATGTTATACTGATTGAAATATGTTTTACAGATTTCTAAAGTGAAGGCTCAGGAGTGTAGCATATATGAAGGCTGTAACCAGTGTTTAGGTGCAAGGGATCCCTATTGTGGATGGTGCTCCTTAGAAAACAAATGTTCGCTGCGGCGGGACTGTCGTGATGCCACCCAGGACCCCCAGCATTGGGTCAGCTACAAGACTGGCCGTTGCACCACCATCACCAATGTCATGCCAGACAAGCTTCAGAGAACTACTGCTCGCACTGTGAGTTGACATTTTTTTTATTTTTGCGAACAGAATTGTCATATTCTATTACGTATTAAGCAATACAGTACTCTGTAAGTTTCATGTTTTGAAGTTTGTCCCTGCAAATATGATGGATATAATAATCAGTAAAAAATTGGGCCCAGTATACGTCACATGGCCTCTTCCAGTTGAAGAGGCCATGTATGGTACAATGATTCAGGGTCCAAATCTATATGTATTAGTAGTGGTTTTACTGTTGCATGCCTCTTAATATACTAATTAGTACTTAGTAAGATGTATAATATTGACTTATGAAATGATATTTAATTGTACTGTACATATGAAAATGCAATTCATTTTACGATACTTCCCCAGTTATCGCTGACGATTGACAACTTGCCATCAGTTGAAGGTTCTCTGCAGTGTGTGTTCAGTGCCATGAGTAAAGACTTGACCACAGACGCCAGACGCACTGCACAAGGAGTGTCTTGTACCACCCCAAGAAATGACATGCTGCCAGATATACCCCAGAATGACCGTATGTGTGATGACAAAACCCAGTATTATTTTGTAAATCTTTCCTGTAAAACTTCTACTTCAGACTAGTAGTGTAAATTTAAACTTATATTTTATTTTAGGGTTTATTAACCTAAGATATCATAGGAATGTAGTAGTATTTACATTTCAAAACTGAGCTGAACTCAACAAGGTTAAAACTGATGCATATTATCTACAACAGTAAATCAGTACAAAAGACTTAGTAGAAACTTCATATACCATTAAGCTAGAAAATGAATACCTGTGTCACCAATGAACTTTTAACCTTAAACGGTCCAAACGTATATATAAGTTTTTTCAACATCTGAAAGTATGTAAAAAAATGTAGATCTTTTTTGTTTTAAATTTGAAAATGTGTAAAAAAAACTTTAATCTACATTTTTTTTGTTATATTTGAAAATATGTAAAAAAAAGTAGATCTACTTTTGTAGCACTACGAATTTGAACGTCGATCTGTTTGGACCATTTAAGGGTTAAACAATAAAAAATATATTTACTCAGTTTTAAAATGTCATGGGGTAAACATTAACTTTTCTCCTGTCAGACACCTGCATTTTTTTTTGAATTCAGTTGCCAAATTATAAATTATCTTCAGTACACACCAAGGGTGCCTTTTATTATATTCATGAAGAAGAGCTGAGCCCATAAGGGGTCAATACAACACCTGGGAATTATGAGGTAATCAAGTTTAATCCAAGGAAGGTCTGGGTAGATCCCATTCTTTGGATCAAGCCTTGATTATAGGCATAAAGTCAGGGAAGAAAATTCATGATTTATCAGCATGCAGCAAAGGTACAAAATTTTATTCTTATAAGTTACATAAACAAATGTGAAGTAACTGAAATAAGTCTCAAATAAATGAAGGGTGTTGTATTTCATTGACATTGGTAAACAGTATTTTTTTTTTTTTAAGTCGGCCGTCTCCCACTGAGGCAGGGTGACCCAGAAAGAAAGAAAATCCCCAAAAAGAAAATACTTTCATCATCATTCAACACTTTCACCTCACTCACACATAATCACTGTTTTTGCAGAGGTGCTCAGAATATAACAGTTTAGAAATAGTTTATACATATAAAGAATACACAACATATCCTCCAAACTGCCAATATCCTGAACCCCTCCTTTAAAGCGCAGTCACTGTAGTTCCTACTTCCAGGACTCGAGTCCGGCTATATAAAAATAACCGGTTTCCCTGAATTCCTTCACTAAATATTACCCTGCTCACACTCCAACAGCTCGTCAGGTCCTAAACACCATTCATTTCCATTCACTCCTATCTTAACATGCTCACACACGCTTGCTGGAAGTCCAAGCCCCTTGCCCACAAAACCTCCTTTACCCCCCTCCCTCCAACCTTTTCGAAGATGACCCCTACCCTGAATTCCACTAGAGATTTATACGCTCTCCATGTCATTTTACTTTGATCCATTCTCTCTAAATGACCAAACCACCTCAGCCCTCTGACTAATACTTTTATTAACTCCACACCTTCTCCTAATTTTTACACTCAGATTTTTCTGCATAATATTTACACCACACATTGCCCTTAGACAGGACATCTCCACTGCCTCCAGCCGCCTCCTCGCTGCAGAATTTACAACCCAAGCTTCACACCCATATAAGAGTGTTGGTACTACTATACTTTCATACATTCCCTTCTTTGCCTCCAGAGATAACATTTTTTGTCTCCACAATACCTCAACGCACCACTCGCCTTTTTTTCTTCATCAATTCTATGACTAACCTCTTCTTTCTTCTTTCAACACACCGGCCGTATCCCACCGAGGCAGGGTGGCCCAAAAGGAAAAAAACAAAAGTTTCTCCTTTTACATTTAGTAATATATACAGGAGAAGGGGTTACTAGCCCCTTGCTCCTGGCATTTTAGTCGCCTCTTACAACACACATGGCTTACGGAGGAAGAATTCTGTTCCACTTCCCCATGGAGGTAAGAGGAAATAAACAAGAAGAAGAACTAGTAAGAAAATAGAAGAAAACCCAGAGGGGTGTGTATATATATGCTTGTACATGTATGTGTAGTGTGACCTAAGTGTAAGTAGAAGTAGCAAGATGTACCTGAAATCTTGCATGTTTGAGACAGATAAAAGACATCAGCAATCCTACCATCATGTAAAACAATTACAGGCTTTCATTTTACACTCACTTGGCAGGACGGTAGTACCTCCCTGGGTGGCTGCTGTCTACCAACCTGCTACCTAGGATGATTAACCTCATCCTTCATAAATCCATCCGCTGACACGTCAACTCCCAAATATCTGAAAACATTCACTTCTTCCATACTCCTTCCCAATTTGATATCAGTTTTTCTTTATCTAAATCATTTGATTCCCTCATCTCACTTACTCTTTTCTATGTTCACTTTCAACTTTCTACCTTTACACACACTCCCAAACTCATCCACTAACCTTTGCAATTTTTCTTTAGAATCTCCCATAAGCACAGTATCATCAGCAAAAGTAACTGTGTCAATTCCCATTTTGTATTTGATTCCCATAAGTTAATCCTACCCCTCTCGAAACCTAGCATTGCTCTTACAACCATCTATAAATATATTAACCACCATGGTGACATTACACATCCCTGTCTAAGACCTAAGAGCCTCCTTATCCTCATAAAAACTCTTTACAGCACTTAATAACTTACCACCTATTCCATATACTTGCAACATCTGCCACATTGCTTCTCTATCCACTCTATCGTATGCCTTTTCTAAATCCATAAATGCAATTAAAAACTTCCCTACCTTTATCTAAATACTGTTCACATATATGCATCAATGGAAACACTTGATCTACACATCCCCTACCTACTCTAAAACCTCACCATCATATCTCCACGAACCCTTTCAACAATTCCTCTATAATTTTTACAATCTCTTTTGTCCCCCTTCCCTTTGTATAAAAGGACTATTACATGCTCTCTGCCATCCTAGGTACCTTCCCCTCTTTCATACACTTACTAACAAAAAATACCAACCACTCCAACACTATATCATCCCTTTTTAACATTTCTGTCATGATCCCATCAGTTTCAGCTTTTTACACCCCTTTCATTCTACATAATGCCTCACGCACCTCCCCTGCACTCACATCCTGCTCTTTTTTGCTCCTAAAAGATGGTATACCTCCCTGGCCAGTGCATGAAATTACCACCTCCCTTTCTTTGTTGACATTGAAGTTCCTCAAAATATTCTCGCCATGTACCAATACCTGCATCTCCCCATCTAGTAACTCCCCTACTCTGTTTTTAACTGACAAATCCATTCATTTCCTAGGCTTTCTTAACTTGTTTAACTTCAAATTTTTTTCTTGTTTTCATTAAAATTTCTTGACAGTGCCTCTCCCACTCTATCATCTGCTCTCCTTTTGTACTCTCTCACCACTCTCTTCACCATTCTTTCACTCTCCATATACTATACTTTAACACTTCTGCTTTGTAAAAACCTCTCATAAGCTACCTTTTTCTCTTTTATCACACCCTTTACTTCATCATTCCACCAATCACTCTCTTTCTCCTGCACCCACCTCCTATACCCAAACCTGCCCCACACTTTAATATCTGCATTTTTAAAACTATTCCAACCCTCTAACCCCCCCTCCCCCCCACTACTCATACTTGCACCAGCCCACCTTTCTGCCAATATTTGCTTATATTTCTACCAGAACTTCCTCCTCCCTTAGTTTATTACACTTTCACCTCTCTCTTACTTGTTGCCATTTCCTCTTGTCCCATCTACCTCTACTCTAACTGTATCTACAACTAAATAATGATCTGATATATCAGTTGCCCCTCTATAAACATGTTACATCCTGGAGCCTGCCATAACCTTTTATCCACCATACTATAATCAACAAACTACTTTCATTACGTGCTATATCATACCTTGTATATATATTTATCCTCTTTTTCATAAAATATGTATTACTTTTACCAAACCTCATTCTACACATAGCTCAGTTAAAATCTCCCCATTTTCATTTACCCCTGGCCCCACCAAATTTTTACCTACAATTCCCTCCACAATTTTTTACCCACTTTGCTTTGAAACCCCCAAAACCCCAAGGACTCTCAACTTGGTTTAAAAACCCCCCCAACATTACTCAAATTTCCCAAAAAATTTTTTTTCTCCTTACACTTCTCCTTCAAAAAAGGGTGTATATGCTTAAAAAACCCCACTTTTCACACCCAAAACCTTTATTTTTATTTTCCACATAATCTTTGAATTTAAACATTTTGGGCCCTCTTTTCCTCCCATAGCTTACCCTTTAAAAAATTATTGACTCCTTCTTTAGCTCTAGCTTCTGTTTAAAAAACCCTTGCCCTTAATCCCATTTATTCCTCTTCACTAAAACTCCCCACCCCCTTCGGGCCTTTGTTTCATTTAAACCCCGGGAAAATCCAGCTTCTTCTCATTCAAAACTTCCATAATATCTTTTTTTTAATCTTTTGCATAACACCTTTCCACATTCGGGACATCCCATTTTGAAAAATTTTCTTCTTTTATTTTTTTTAAAGTAATTATTACAGGAAAAGGGGTTACTACCAAATTTTTTCCCGGCATTTTAGTTGATTTTTTAAAAACAACATGGCTTGGAGGAAAGATTTTTTTCCATTTCCCCCATGGATAAAAAAGGGGAAAAAATAATAAATCAAAAAACTATTAAGAAAAAAACCCAAAAACATACTAATGTTGGATTTTTAAAACCACATTTTTGTAAACCCACTAAACGCCCCCCCGACATGATAGCTGTTTTTAAAACTTTTTTGGGATGACAGGATCCAAAAAAATTTTTGCAAAAAATTGCTGGCTAAAACCTCATGGATGGGGAAGAGACGGGAAAGGGGGAAAGGGAAAGGGGTTTTGTTGCGGGGTGTTCTCCAAAAGGGGGTTCGGCCCAGCACATTGATGTTGCCCCCCCTTAAATCTTGAAATGATGTTTTCAAGCTCTGAATAAACATTTGAAACCTCTGTATGCATGTGCAATGAAAGCCCTCAGTGGAAACATGCAAACCCCTTTCAACTTCCTAATGGAAAATATTGACCCCCTTTCTGCTACAAACAATGTAAAACAATCTTAATTGTTGGTGACCTCAACCGCCCCTTTTTTCAGGGGGGATTTTGAGACCTTTTTTGCAGTGTTTGACATGGGGAAATTTTTGTTTTTTCCCCTTTACAAACTCTCTGGTTTTCCCCCCCCCCCCCCCCCCCCTTTTGACCCGGGAAAAGGAGTGATTGGCAGAAGGCAAAAAGGGTCACTTGTTAAACCCCCCCCCCCCCCGGCTTGTTGGATCGTTTTGCCCCACGGGGCTTTTTTTTTACGACATTAAGACCCCAAAAAACAAAACGAGGTGAGGGTCCACACCACAACCGGGCTATGGAAAAGGGAAATTGGGCCCAGCCCTTGGCTCGGGGAGCTTGCCCCCCCAAATTTGGGAAATGCCCCTTTCCCCAAGGGGATGTTGAAAACCAAAGTAAAAGCCTTCCCGGCACCCCTTAATTACAAAAAAGAACACATTCCCACCGGCAATATGTGAAAAAGGGGGCCTACGGATCACCCTTTGGGGTTTGGCTTTCATTGTGAGAGGGC